CTCCTGCTCCTGCTCCTGCTCCTCGAGTTTGGATACGCGTGGAGATGAGATCTAGAGGGTAGACTATACTACCGCTCACTGCGCTGCCTAGCGAGCCGGCAGTGGCTTGTGCGAATGGAGGAAGCTCGGAAGATGTCATGATGAGTTGCAAACAAAGTGCACCTCTGGCGATAAAGGCGGGCAATGTGATGGGTGATGGAGTGATGGAGGGGGGGAATGGTGTGGCTGGGGTTTGATGTGATGCGAGGCAAGTCGTTCTCTTTGTGCCTTTGCCGTCGTCACCTGTTATGCTCGCTCGCACGCACGCAGCGTTTGAAGTTGGTTGTTTGGTGCGCCTCTTGCAAATGCTGGGCGGGCGATAGCCGGGGCAGTGTAGCGCTTCGCTTTGGACTGGCGCTGGATGCGAGATCAGAGAGGCTGGCTGCACACACGTTGGAGAGGAGATGAGGAGGAGGCAGGAAGCGAGGTTGAGCGATGGAGGGAGGGTGATGCGTAGCGTAGCGTGGCTTGGTTGCAAGGCAATCAAGGCGGAGTGCATGCGTGAGCGTGAACGTGTATGCGTGTGCCGTTGTGCGAGCGCGCGCGTCTCTATATACGTAGCATCGAGCCCTCCCGTTGCAATCAATGTGAATATAAGCTTCATGCCCACGCATGCGTGCTGCTCCACACGTACCTACACACACCCCTCCGCTTCGCCATTCGTGATTCGTGATTTCCCGCCGCGCCCCGCATCTCCACAACCTTTCGTACGACAAGCCCTTCGTGGGACACGTGCGTGCTCCCTTTTCTCTCTCTCTCTGATCATCACGTGTACGCAATGACGTCATGCATGTCTTCAGCTAGCAGACCACGATCGACCTTTTCGGATCCGCGTGGCCGGCTTGCCGCGGTGCTATTCACAGCTGCGCGGGTGAGCCATATATGCGCGGGACTGGGGGGCGTGGGTGAAGAAGAGCCAAGGCAGGCAATCAGGCATGGCAAGCATGCGTATTGCGTGCAGCTCCGTAGGAAGAGAAAACCATTCACATTGATTCGTGATTGTGTGAAAATAGTAATGG